GTGACCCTGCTTCGTCAGGGGGGTTGGACTAGATGACCCACAGAGGTCCCTTCCAACCCCTACTATTCTGTGATTCTGTGAAGCAGAAATCTGTGATTCTGTGATAAGTTTTATGATTTGTGAAATTTTTTCTTTTTTGAAGATTCATATTCTGTGGGCTGTATGTTGATGGGAGAGAAAGATTCAGGTATTTTGGTCTTTGCCATGACGGAAGACTTATATACCTGCAAGACTTATATACTTTCATTTTTTATTGAATCTTGTATGACATGATACCAAATTAGAGACCTGATTTGCAAACAAACAGCTATATAGAATCCATGCAATTGACCAAGATTCACATATTTTGCAATCTCTTCTGATCTTGATGTGCTGTTCTTTAGCCTGTGCAGAAGGGAACATTGTCAAAGAACTTAATTTAGCCTTGGTCCAGGACAAAGAAAAACCACAAACACCTGAAACTGAGTTAGTACAGCTAGAGGAATTGAAGGAATGAAGCAACTAAAGGGGATTTGCTTTCTAGTACAAAGGAAGATGGTGGTTGTTTCCCCCCTACTCCCATTCATTTCTGTGACACTTTGAGCAGGTCATTCCAACTTTTCTTCCTCCCTGAATGTGATAGGAGGGGTCTCGGGGAAGACAGATGAGGAAGAGACCAGCAAAGACAAGTGACAGGCAGTAGGAGGGTCCTCTTGGACCGTATCAGATGTTTCTGAGTAAGTGGAATTCTGTGAAGGGAAAATCAGACATCAAAGGCAGGTCTTCTGCAGATTATAGGTCCCTGAATGGGCTGCCACTTTGGTTTAGGAGACTATGACCATGAGCCTTGAAGTACATAGAAGTGCACACTGGTCATTGTACAAATAGAAGTACAATAGCCACTGCAAAAAACACATGAGACTCATAGATCCCTTCCCATCAAAAAGGCCCCTTTAGGCAGAAATGCCAGTTAAGGCCAAGGCTTATCTTTAATTTTCTAAGAAACTAAAGGTGGCTTGTTCAGCCCTAAGTAAGGGTCAGTCAGCTGCACAGCTGTCCTGTTCCAGCCCCAAGAGCCCACTGATGCAAGTAGGCACATGCTAGTCGAACAGGGTGGGAATCCTCAAGGACTACAACAAGCAATATGGCCTCTGGGCTAAGAGATCAGTCACAGAATTCTGGTCAAGTCAGTGAAGATCTGTACCGCCAGAAGTATCCTTCCTCCAACATACAAGAAGTGAAACAGGCCTGTGATACGTGTGCTGCTGTATGTAGCAGATATACGATACGCTGCTTGTGTTTCTGCCCAAGGCTGCAGGAGCTGTCCCTTATGTATTCCACTCCTAAGGTTTTGCAGGCTGAGAGTTGTGCTGTGTTTCCCCCATGTTCAGTTTTTGATAACATCTGTGGTTATCTTTACCTTCTGTCTCTGTCCCTTTAGCAAAAGCCACCTTCACCACCCTCTCCTGATGAGATCCCCATCAATGTCAAGCAAGCATACAAGACCTTTGCCGCAGTGCCCTTGTCACACTCTCTGCTCGAGACACAGGTAACTGGTGCTGACTGGGGGGGATGTTACACAAACGGTGGCACAAACAGGAGATTTAGCATTGCAGGTGAGAAAGGGAAGTGTGAGAATAGGAAGGAGGTAGTGATTTGTTTCTTCTACATCAGTCTGTCATGAAGGAGGGACATGTTGGGTTCCCTTTGGATGCTGGAGTCTATTTATGTTGCGGATGGTCACCCTGCAGAGTCCTGTCCATAAACACTTCAAGTCCTGAAAGCTCATTGAATTTCGTGTTGTGTTGCTGTTATTCTCCACAGACATTAGGATCCTGTTTTATAACTACGCTGTTCTGATACAAAGAAACTCTCTGAACTTCCAAAGTCCAGGGCCAGGCTAAAGCTGTTCTGAGGAATTTTTTATTAGATTTTGATCTTTAACTTAATTGGAACTGTTCCTTCTCCCCTCCATGTATTTGATTCATGGAGTCATTCAGGGTAGATGGGGCCTCTGGAGGTCATCTGCCTCAGTCCTCCAAACAAAACAGGGCAACCTTTGAAGTTTTATGAGGTTGCTGAGACCGAGACCACTTGAGTTTTCAATTTCCAAAAATGGAGATTCTGATGTCACTGCAGGCAGTCTTTTTGGGTGTATGACCATCTCTGCTGTTAAGGGTTTTTTTCAATATGTTTTATCAGAATTTCTTTTACCGCAACTGCCGTGTCTGTTCACAGAATCATAGAATGGTTTCGGTTGGAAGGGACCTTAAAGATCATCTTGTTCCAACCCCTATGCCATGGGCAGGTACCCCTTCCACCAGGCCAGGGTGCTCAAAGCCCTGTCCAACCTGGCCTTGAACCCTGCCAGGGAGGGGGCAGGCCTGCTGTCGTCGCTGCGGAGGGTCACAGTGGGGCACGGAGTTTGTGTGGAGCTTGCAGGTTGGAGTACGCTCCCAGCAGAGGGGTTCCAGCCCTCACATCATTGCTGGGGCCTCCTCTGGCCCCGCTCCCACGGCTCCAGCTCTGTCCTGTGCTGAGGGCTCCAGAGCTGGACGCAGGACTCCCGGGGGGTCTCAGCAGAGCGGGGCAGAGGGGCAGAATGCCCTCCCTCACCCTGTGCCCACGCTGTGGGGATGCAGCCCAGGGCACGGGTGGCCTTCGGGGCCGCCAGCGCACACGGCCGGGTCATGCTGAGCCACTCATCAGCCAGCACCCCCAAGACCCTGTGTTGTCTTAATCATCTTACTGCTTTCCTTTTTGCCTGTTCTTATCTGAATTTTTGCTGGCACATCTTTGATGCAAATGATACATCCTATTTCACAGATTAATTTCTGCTGTGATATTGTTTGTTTCTTTCTTTTTTTTCTTTCTTGCTGAATCTTAATTGCCAGTACCTTTCCTCACGTGTCAGTAGATCACGCTCACCTTGTTTGTAATGGTGCTGTGCTGGGAGTTACGGCTCTTCTGCAGTGACTTGTGACAGCAGCTTGGTGTTATAGCTAAGCTAATCCTGTCCTCCCACTGCCTGCCTTGCCCTGTGTTGGTGCGCATGTGGCCTCACATTGATCTGGTCTGGTAAATTGATATGGGTCACAAGTCTTTCTTTACTGGGTGTAAGGTTGATTTTTGGCCATTTTAGCTTTATAGACTGACTGCCGTGGAGTTAGATGACTGTCCATAGAAGCTCAGGGAAGCTGTTAGCCAAGTCCAGGGTGAAAAGGAAGTGGAAGTTGTCTCTGCTGGCATCTGAGACCCACCAGATGACCTAAGTTCATGAGTCAGAGTATCTTGTACACAGAGGACTTCTCCAGCTTCATAGTCTCTAGTTGATGTATCATGGTTTAAGAAGCAATTACTGATCATGAAGTAGATCACCTTGTGTTTTGCACTATTAAATTAAATTATTTTTGTCCTGCTCAGATCAGCCTGTCATTCCAGGGTGATAGTCCAAACTATTTTGAATTTTGACAGTGCTTGTCCCCGTTCGGTGGAATGGGATGAATGGAATAATTTGCGGAGGTCTCGGACAACTCTGCATTTCTGTGAATCTGTGTTCTGGTCTTTGCCATTCACAAATTTTATTCACACCTTTCTGGTTTCTGAGTCAAATTTGGCAATGAAAATGTTAAGTGACGTTAGTCACGAAACTGATCTTTGAAGTCTCAGAAAAATCCATGCAGTTCCTTTGTTTCAAAAATTACTTATGTTATCAGAAGAGGATATTAGATTAATCTTCACTGCACGTGTTCCATCGTAATATTTTCTATTTATTTTTGTTTTAATTGTATTCATCTGTGAATATTTTCCTGTTGAAATTGAACAGACCGATAGCTCTGCTGCTCAAATTATTTTTGCCTGCTTCTTGATTTTTAACAATATACTAGCTATTTTTTAGACATGAACTGCTACCCAATTAAATAAGTCGATTAAAAATCCATGCTTGTCAGACTTGCAGTTTCACAAGTCATTTCATTCAGAATTGTTGAACAGTGATTATTTTGTACCTGCACGTGAGTGTATTAAGCTCTTAGGTTTTCTTCTGTTAGCAGCAATAATTTCTATTTCCAGACGTCTGCTTCTTAGCTAGAAGCTTTTTTTTTGCCTTTTTTTTTCTCTGTTATTGTGCTCCTTATTTATACAAAATTAAAACTTTCTGTTAGGTTTTTGGAGCGTGTTTGAATAAAGTTGAAGCTCAAGGTAGTCTGCTTGCTCTCTTCTTGTGATTCCTCTTCATCTGTATAATTTAAAACCTTTCATATTTTAATAACCTTTTGGCAGTTCTCATTTTACCCTTACTGATTTCTGGTTCACAGATGGATTTTGTGGATCAATTTATTTTTCTGACCCCTGTAGAATATTCATCCAATATTCTGTTATTTATTCTGATAAATATGGATTTCCTTCTTTTCTGATGTCGCTTCCAGTTCTTTGAAGTAAATTTTCAATAGTTGCATCTTTGATTTAAAGAAAGTCTAAGCCTCCTCCATCTTAAGCTAAGCCCTCTGCTCCTGTCCTCCACCTGTTTCCCCATGTTTTTCGTTTTCTGCCCTTTTAAAAGGTGTCACCATCTGTTTCTGTTTATCCCTCAATTTAATGTAAATCCTTATTATTCATGATTGCTAAGCCTAAAGTGGCATTGTCTTGTGTTAATTGTGGGACTGTTTTGTGAAGCAGCCCATCAGCTACTGTCCGGGACTGCCGCTGTTTAAGTGGCATTGGCTGGAGAGCAGGAGCAGTGGTAGAAAACTTTCTTTTTAGAATGTGCCCATTTCTGTTTATTCTTAGGAATTGCCTGGTCAGACCAGCACAGAGAATCCCAAAGCTGCCCCGGAGGTGAGTTCTGGTGGCGGGCGCTGGAAGCAGGATGGGGCCTCGCGGAGGATTCAGGCTGCTGGGGCTGTGGATGTGGAGACCGGATCGCAGTGCGGACGCGCAGGGGAGGGCTGCGGAGGGTGTGGAGCGCGTGGCTGGGGTGGGCAGGTGCAGGGCATGCGTCGGGGGCCGTTTGGCTCAGCTGCTCTGTGGGCAGTGCCAGTGTGGCTCTTGCAGGTGGCCATGCACAGCCCCAGTGGACTGCACAGCCCTGAGCAGAGATCCTTCCGCGAGAGGCAGAAGTATTTTGAAATTGAGGTGAAGCAACAGCAGATGGATAAGCCTCCCAAACGTGTCTCCTTGGTAGGAGAGGATGACCTGAAGAAGATGAAAGAAGAGGAAGGTATGTTGGAATCTGTGCAAGGAAATTGGGCCTGTTAAGTGAACCCTTTCTCTGTGGGAGGCATGAGAGAGCATACACACCAGAAATCCAGCCCTTCCAAAAGCCCATGGGTGGTTATTCATAAGGCTCGGTAATAGCTTGAAATAACTGAATGTTAGGGAATTTTGTGTGTGGACTGGTGGAATTGCTGTGGTGTCAGGGTTTCCTGTGGTTGGTAAACACTTCGCTAAAATTTTCAGAAGCTACTACAAATGATGATGTTTCTTTATAAGCTGCCCAGGCTCATAAGCAGCAACTTGGGGTTGCCCATGGCATCCTGACATTGTATCTGACAGCAGGGCTTTTATTGCTCAGTATGCTGCTCTGATTTTGCACAGCGCTTGCAACAGGAGGGAAAATTACTGCTGTAGCTCTTGATGTAATTTCCTCCTGCTTGCAAGTTGTTTTAAAAGGTGATGAGGAACTATGTGAAGTTGAAAAAGGCCGCCTGCTGAAATCCTGTCCTGTTCCATAAGAAAATACAGCTGGAATTGGTCTCCTGGGTTTGGGAGCTGTGACTCTGTTGCTTGCAAAGACTGTCATAGACTTTCTTTTGTAAATTGTTGGGTTTTGAGGGTGGGGTTTTTTTTTCCATTTTATGAATAGTTAGTCTTCTCTTTCCCACCTTCCCTCCTATATTCCTGTTTAGAGGCCGTTTGTGAATTTGTCCAGAGCATTAGAAACCACCTCTTTTTCTTGTAGTAGTTCAGGAACATGAATATGCTTTATGACAAGAGTAAGCTCATAAAAGATAGAAAGGAAGGTAAGAAAAAGAAATTGCAACTTGTCATTTTGCGTTTTTTCAATGCGGTGTGGCCAAAAGAATCACAGGTCCAATGTAAGAAGTTAGACTTTCACTGTTTTCTAAAAGAGAGATGTAGGAAACGCAAAGATCGAGATATAAAGTGTGGAAGGAGAAACTGTCGAGAAATGACAAGTTTCAGGCTTGCATTTCAGCTTGTTTTGAGATTTGCTAAGCAGGTTGATGATGACCATCTCTAATCAGGATATCTCTGAATATTAGAATTTAAATTTAAAAAAAAACATCCCTCTGGGGAAGAGAGATCCCATGGTGAAGATTGTCCAGACAATACATTAGGTTTTAACTTACGCAGGATGAAACATCCCAATCAAATATCTCAGAGTGATAAGTTACATCCTCTGGATCTTTGCAGTTCCAGCACTTAAACAAAGATTTCTGCTGCTGTGGGCTCCCACTGCTGGCAAACTGCAGCATTAGAAATTTCAGCATATAGGCACATCCAATTGCACAAGTGTTCTGTTTGCATTTGTTTATTTTAAAAACATTTAATAAAATAGACTAAGCAGCGTTACTACTTTGCAGTTACAGTAGACATGTCAGAAAAGAATAGAATATTTCAGCTGGAAGGGACTACAATGATCACTCAGTCCAGCTGCCTGACCATTTTGGGGCTGACCAAAAGTTAAAGCATAGTATTAAGGACCTCTTAAACACTGACAAGCATGGGGCATTGACCACCTCTCCAGGAAGCCTGTGCCAGTGCTTGACCACCCTCTCTGTAAAGAAATGTTTCCTAACGCCAAGTCTGAACCTCCCCTGACGCAGTTTTGAGCCGTTCCCAGGCATCCTGTCCCTGGATCCCAGGGAGAAGAGATCAGC